TATCGCCGTACAGTTCGTCATCCGGTTTACTAGAGGTGTAGTTCTCTTTGATTGTCTCCAAACCGTTGGACGGACTCGAAGACACGTACGGACGGGTAGTGTCCTCTGCGGCCAGTGTTTTGCCGATTGTGTCCACATATAGGGCCCTATAGTCTGGCCAATAGTTCTTCACGTCATACCACCAATATTTCAATGCGTACTCATTCTCGTTGTTACCTATGATAATAAGTGGTTTAATGAGCTCGTGATGGTTTAGTGCCAGGGTTTGTGTCACATACCGGACCAAATAGCGATGGATGGGTGGTGTTGAATACGCCTGACTTGAGTGATCACCTCATTGTTAACTGAATCCAAGAACTCTTTGTGGGCCGGATATAAAGCACAGGCAAACATGAAGTCTTGCCAAATCATAATCCCGTACTCGTCGGCCAACTCGTAGAACAGGTCCGACTCATACACCCCTCCGCCCCACACTCTCATCATATTCATGTTCGCACGTTTAGCTGATCCCAAGAGATGTCTTAAGTACTCGGGAGTGATGTCTTCCATCAGGACATTGGTTGGGATCCAATTCGATCCCTTCGCGTAAAAGGGCTTTGAGTTTACCTCGAAGTAAAAGGTGAGGCCTTCGGGTTTTACGGGATTTTGGATCAGTTTAATGGTTCGGAAACCAATTTTTTTGGTTTGTGTCGAAACTTCTTTATTGACATCTATTTGGACATTGAGTTGATATAACTTCTGTGTATTGTCTGAAACACCGTTTGGATACCAAGTGATGATTTGGATGTCAGTGATAAAGATGACAATCAGCATTTTGGCCTTTCCCTGACCATCGGTTTCAATCGTTTGTTTTTGTTTATTAATCAAAACATTATTATCTAATTTAATGTCCAAAATGCCATCCATTTGTTGTTTTGGTGCCGACTCTAAGAATGCATTAACAGTTAGTGTCCATTGACTGGCATTCTTCGGGTCGGGAATCGTCTCAATAGTGATATCTCTGATAAGAATGCCATCGAAAGCCTCAATGCCTATGGGCTGCCAAATACCCTGTGTTGGGAACGCCGGGCCCTAAACGGCGACAAATAAGACAAAATTTTGTATAAGTTTTAGTTTATAAATATAATACTGCTTTACAAACCCAATCCCAACTATACGATGCTTGCATTTTGCGGATAAAATTAGCATGACACTCTCCGTGGGCGGCATCGCCACCATTACATGCTATAAATTATATATTAAATTATTAAACAAAATTAATATAAACGCTGTATTACTACATACGGGGCCTAACGTTATATTTGTATTTATTGAAAAAGTTTTCCGATTCTTGTTTCCCATACAAAGGCGCCGATTGAAAGGCCAGTCGTATTGTGTTTTGTCCCGATTTTAACACTTTCTTCACATCCCAGACATATCTCACAAACTGATTGTCTGTTTTGCCGATTAATTGGTCGTTAATATAAACACTGCTAACTGTGTCGATACCATTGACCAATAAATTCACTGTTTTCTTGTTTAGTAATGTTGAATCCACTATTGATTTTATAATTAGTTAATTAATTAGAAAAACATAAATATTTTAATTACAAACCAGTGAATGTGCGCTCATATGTCCAGTTATCGTAAGCAACCCATCGATAGTTGACATCATTTTTCTCATACAATAAGTCCTGTTTGAGGACCTGTGCTCTCCTGAGGTCCGAGTATATACTTCCCGGTACTTTTGCCTCAACTTTAATTGCTGTTTAATTTAATTGTAAATTATAATTAAATAAACTTGTTTATTCTATGCATCATAACAATTATTAATTAAAATTACATTTATTAAAACTGGTGGCAATCCATTCGTTCCCGTCTAATGATAAATAGTCGGCAAAACTTAAACCAACAAAACATAGTAAAAGGCAAACCACTGACCAGTATTTTACCATCATTTTAAGGTTTGGCAAAGTCCGACTAATAAATACAAATATTTAGGTGACTTTTATATTAAAAACTAAAGCTGAACTATGTCATTTTTCAAGGATTTAGTACAGGTTATACCAAGAATTTAATTATTTGGTACACTTTATAATCATAATTATTATAATATCGATTAGATTATGCTTTGCTGGGATGTGATAGGATATGCTGGGAATAAACAGCATATCCTTCAAAAACAATAGCAAGAATGTGCTTATAATCTGTGGACTCTTCATATTTGTTGCCATAGGATTAATAATAATAACAAAATATTAAAATTAATTTCAAAATTATAGCTAAAATTATATTTATTTTATGTAGAGATTTTTGTATTAAAGAATCTTATTTAATTGTAATTTATAAATTCTAAATAATTATATTACACTATTTTTACAACATTAATAATTTCTAATTAATTATTATAATTAAAAAATTAAATTGAAAAATATAAAAGTGTTAGATTGACCCGGACGTGATTTGAACACGCAACCTTCTGATCTGGAGTCAGACGCGCTACCGTTGCGCCACCGAGTCTGTTATGTAACCCTACAATAACTGTATATTTATTGTAAATGTACACAGTTTATATTCACCAATCATGGTTTGTAATAATTAATTTTTATAAGGTAAATCTTTGTACTTTTATTAATATTTTTTAATTATTTCTTGCAAATAACATTTAATTGTTTATTTATGTTTAATACATTAAAATAGTGTACAGTACTATAGAGTAGTTTGCATAATATGGTCATTCTATCAAGGGTAAATAAAGGTAATAGTCAAATATTTGCTGTAATAAAGTTGGGAACATTTATTTTATTAACATTTTAATATTTTGACAAAAGTGTTAAACAATATCTGTGAGTGTCTTAAACGTGAGATTATCTTTGATATTGTTTTCACTGACATTAGACTCGGTTTGCAATTCAATAGTCTTTTTGCCGTCAAATATAAAGAATCCGTTTTCCATGAATTGACCCCTAATTCCCGATTTGGGCTTAAAGTCCATCACAACAAACGCTGCGATCGCTTTGGATGACAATGTGATCTCAAAGACATGATTGTTATCATTAGATTCAGACACAGACTTCTTCTTCACTTCAATTAGTTTGAGCTCTGGTTTTACGAGTTTTGAGTTTTTTGTTTCCGTTAATAACATAAAGTTATTTGCCTTTAAATGAGTTAAATATAATAATTAAAATACAATTACAATCATTAATAATTTATATTTACATCAATTTTATGATCAATATTATTGACATTGAAAGAGAGGAGGCATTCAGTCCTGTCTTTACAGCCGGCTTTGGATAAGAGATCCGATATAGGGATCGAGTAAAAGATATCGGCAGAAAAACTATTGCTTTTAAACTCTCCCGCAATGGTATGGATTGGATCTATTTGTAACCATTTATACACTTTGATTGTGTATTTGAATGATAACTCTCCCAAATAGTCGTCTCTTACAAACGATATCTAAATTATATGTTTATTAAAGATTTATGCGAATTAATTAAAATCATTTGTTTTATACATACTTTAAGACTCTTATCCCTGTCTTCATAGGGAGAAACCAAATGGTTGGCTAAAAATTGGATGGCATACGAGTGCAAGACTTTCCACTTGCCGTTGTGTTCAATGGAGGCCCAGGAGGGCGCCGGCCATATATCGTTGAGTTGCCAATACAGGGCTCCCATTGTATTTCCATTACCAGTCTTGGGATCAATTTCGCGATTACGGCGATAAAACTCTGTCCACGTTTTCATGGCCATCGCCTGTACTATTTGGGAAGCGGTGACAAAATCATCTAATCTATCGATTCCACCACTCGATGGTAATCTTAAATAATAATCTTTATTTGGAAAAATTAATGTTGATTAAAACTAACAAAACAATGTACACGTATGTAAAAATACCAATATGCTGGATGATAAAATTGTCTTCGTAGTCGCCTTTGTGCTGATGGTGTTTAACAGCGGCGGTCAACGGGTAGATGAGATCCTTGTCGTCAAACGCTTCCCGCAGTGACTCAATGGATGGATAGGATTGGAAGCCGTACTCCGAGACAAACTTCGGCGACTGAAGTGTAGTCCAGTCCCAGAGGTGTGAGTCGTCGCTGTAATAATGTGTATCGCCGTAACGCCAGTCGTCCGGATGTTTGGCCGTATAGTTCTCGCTCTGACTCTCCAACCCATTGGACGATGAGTTGATATAACTTCTGTGTATTGTCTGAAACACCGTTTGGATACCAAGTGATGATTTGGATGTCAGTGATAAAGATGACAATCAGCATTTTGGCCTTTCCCTGACCATCGGTTTCAATCGTTTGCTTTTGTTTATTAATCAAAACATTATTATCTAATTTAATGTCCAAAATGCCATCCATTTGTTGTTTTGGTGCCGACTCTAAGAATGCATTAACAGTTAGTGTCCATTGACTGGCATTTTTCGGGTCGGGAATCGTCTCAATAGTGATATCTCTGATGAGAATACTATCGAAAGCCTCGATTCCTATGGGTTTCCAAATCCCTTGTGTTGGGAACGCCGGGCCCTAAACGTGGGGTAAAAATAAATGTTTAGACAATTTATAGTTAATTTATAAAATATAAATCCAAACCCAGTCCCAACTGAAAGATGCGGCCATTTTTCGGATAAAATTGAAATGACATTCACCGTTATATGCGGCACATTCTGTAATGTAAATTAAGTTTTAATTATGTTTATTATTTTAAAATTCAATACTGAATACCCGGCAGAACTGCATATTTATATTTCTGTTTAAATTCTTCAGACTTTTGTTTGGCATAAAGAGGCGCCGATTGAAAGGCCAGTCGTATTGAAATTATGTTTATTATTTTAAAATTCAATACTGAATACCCGGCAGAACTGCATATTTATATTTCTGTTTAAATTGAAGTCTGAAAACAAACCGTATTTCTCCGCGGCTAACTTTCCGGTCAGCATAACACAAAACAGGGCTAAAATTGTGAAAGAAGTGTAGGGTCTGTATAGAGTGCTTGACTAACAGACAAAACGGCTATAATTGGTCGTTAATATAAACACTGCTAACTGTGTCGATACCATTGGCCAATAAATTGACATTTTTCTTGTTTAGTAACTTTGAATCCACTGTTAATTTAATTTAAATAATTGGTCATAAAATTTATCAAATAATTATTAAATAAATACCAGTGAATGTGCGCTCATATGTCCAGTTATCGTAAGCAACCCATCGATAGTTGACATCATTTTTCTCATACAATAAGTCCTGTTTGAGAACCTGTGCTCTCCTTAGGTCCGAGTATATACTTCCCGGTACTTTTGCCCCGACTTTAATTGCTATTATTAATTGAAAATATAATTATTAGATATTAAAACAAGTTTTAACTAAAATTATTAAATATAATTACATTTATTAAAACTAATGGCATTCCAGTCGTTGCCGTCTAAAGATAAATAGTTGGCAAAAGCGATGCTAATGAAGCAAAGGATACAAACTATTTTGTCATACATTTTACTCAAATAATAACGAGTAAATGTTTAACACTTTGTTTTGTTTAACTATTTTTATATAAAAAATAATTGATAATAAAATGGATTAATCGATACTTAACTTAAATTGACAATTATTTCTAAGGTACTGATAAATTGAGCACAAATTCAATAACATTTCCAGTTTTATTATCAAATTAATAAACGAGGTCTTAATAAACATCTACAGTACAGTATTCATGCACTACAAATACCATAGTCAATTACAGTAGATTTAGTTATCAAGGTGCAAATTTAACCGTCAATATAAGTTGTTAATAATAAATTAGTGTAGTGTTTTAATTGATGCTAAATTGTACTTTTCATACTTTCAAGTTTTAAACTAATAATTATATTGTATTAATAGGAAAATATTTATATTTGGTTTTAGTTTTTGATATTAATTTTGATAGTAGTTTCTGAAAATGTCGAATCTTTTAAATATTTTTTTTGTTTGTATTTTTGATAAGTTTTATATACAGTAGGTTTTCAAAGCATTTAAAGTGTAAAACAGATAATTTGATAAATAAATGACATTTCAATATAAGTGCAGTTTATTTATACTTTTTATTCAATTGATAACGTTTTCAAATGTCTTTTACACAACATCTGTGAGTGTCTTAAACGTTAAATTTTCTTTGATATCGTTTTCACTGACATTAGACTCGGTTTGCATTTCAATCGTTTTACTGCCAAATATAAAGAATCCGTTTTCCGTGAATTGACCCGATTAAGGGCTAAACCCGAATTTCAGGTAGTGTTGTTTGCGACGCTAGCGAAACCTACTGTTACACTAGAGTTTCTGTACTAACAATAGTAATCTAAGTCTGTGTCTGAAGAAGAAGTGAAGTTAATATCTAATCTCTGGTTTGACTAGTTTTGAGTTTTTCGGTTCCGTTAATAACATAAAGTTAGTGGCCTTTAAATCATTAGAAAATTACAGCAATTAGTAAAACTTGCAATTAATTAATTAATCAAATAATTAATTATAATTACACTGATATTGTGGAAATAATTTTCAACTTTAACGGTAACAATACATTCACTCCTGTCTTGACATTTGGCTGCAGACAAGAGATCCGATATCGGAGTCGAGTAGAAGACATCGGCTGAGAAACTGTCGCTAAGTTCTGAAGGGAGGTCACATATCTGCCCAGGCAACAGACTGGTGAATATGTGTAAGTCTCACATAGACTTGCAGTTAAGAGGGTTTATCAGCAGGGAGTGTTTGCTATAGATTTAATGTACAATAAATAAAATATTAATTAATTTGCAAAATAGTTACTAAACTATACCTTAAGACTCTTATCCCTGTCCTCATAAGGAGAGACCAAATGGTTAGCCAAAAAGTGGATGGCATACGAGTGCAAGACTTTCCACTTGCCGTTGTGTTCAATGGAAGCCCAGGTGGGCGCCGCCCAGATGTCATTGAGCTGCCAATACAGGGCTCCCATTGTGTTTCCTTTGCCAGTCTTGGGATCGATCGCACGGTTGCGGCGATAAAACTCAGTCCACGTCTTCATTGTCATTGCCTGAAGAATTTGCGACGAATAGACAAAATCACTCAATCTGTCGATCCCTCCACTCGACGGTTGTTTCATATAATACCCTATAATTGTGAACAAATAAAACAACAAGGTTAATTTTGTTTACCATAATGAAATATCATTTAGAAAACATGATTACCAATACGATAATTAATGATATCGTCTTCATATGTGCCCTTATGCTGATGCCATTGGAGTTCGGGTGTCAAAGGATAGGTCAGGTGTTTCTCGTCAAACGATTCCAGCAGTGTCTCAATGGATGGATAGGATTGGTAGCCGTACTCCGAGGAGAACCGGGGGCTCGACAGCGATGTCCAGTCCCAGAGGGAGGAGTTGTCGTTGTAATAGTGAATATCGCCGTACAGT